TTGTCTCGAGAAGAAAAAAAAAAAAAAAAAGAAGTGAAGAGGAAGCCAGGCTTGGTGGCACACTCTTTCAATCCCAGCACTCAGGAGGCAAAAACGGGATGTTGTCTGAAGAAAGCCTGGTCTACAGAGTTCGTTCCAAGACAGCCAGGGCTATTTAGAGACCCTGCCTCCCCACCAAAATAAATAAATAAATAAACAACAAAACCTTAGAAGGGCTACTCACTGGTTAAGAGCATTTGCTGCTTTTCCAGAGGTCTTGAGTTCAATTCTCAGCACCCACATGGTGGCTCACAACCGACTAACTCCAAGGGAATGGACACCCTCTTCTGGCCATTGCATGCATGAGGCACACAGGGAAAGGTTCAGGCCAAACACCCCCACACATAAAATATGAAAAAAATGTAAAACTAAAACCTAAAAATTTATAAAAACAATAAGAGCTGGACGAAACGTTCCACTGCTGTAATCACAGCTTTCTGGAGGCAGAATCAGGAAGGTCAGGGCGGATGGGGAGGAGGCAGAAGAATCGAGTTGAACGTCATCCCAAGTTGTGGGTGGCCTGAGATACTTGAGACCCTGTGTCAAATAAAGGAGTAACCTTGGGAGACGTCTTCCGAGTCTTTCTTTTAACTCCTTTTATAAGTACGAATGTTTGCCTGCAAATATCAGCGCACCACATGCATGAAGTGCCAGTGGAGCCAGAAGAGAGCGTCAGATCCCCCTGAAACTAGAGTTTACATGTTTGTGGACTGCCTTTTGGGTGCTGGAAATCAAACCCCTGACCTCTGGACACTCTTGTAGTGCTCTTAATTGCTGAGCCATCTCTCCAGCCCCTTGTGGGTTTCTTGCTCTTGTGAGCCCCCTTTCCTTTCAGGAAAGCATGTTAAATTTAGAGGAAACAGCTTCAAAACAAAGATACATGTATAAAATAACGGGTCATCCTAGCCCAATTCAAGTACATTTACATTGTTGTACAAACACCATCACCATCCATCCCCAGGATGTTCCTAGCTTTGTCGCTGAAACTCTGTACCTGTTAACACTAATCCCATTCATCCTTTCCAGTCCCTTGAAACCAACATTTGACTTTCTATAAATCTGAGGATTTGGGATACTTCACAAAAGTATATCATACAAATATTTCTCTTTTTTTGACAGGTTTATTTAGCATAATGTTTTCAAGCTTCAGACTGTAGTGTGTCAAAATTCCTTTTAAGGCTGAATAATCGTATTGAATGTATACCACACTTTCTTCATCCGTTGCTCCAGGAGTGGACACTTGAGTTGTGTTGCACTTATAGCCCCTATGGATAATGTTACTAGGAACATGAGTGCACAAATATCCTTTGAGGACCAGTGAAGTGTCTCAGTTGCTGAGGGCACTTGCACCCAGGCTGATGACCTGAGTTGCTCCTCAGGACCAAAATGGTGGAGCTGATTCCCTCATGTTGTTCTTGAACATTTGCACACAACTCCTACCTCCCTCACACACACAAATATAAATGTTAAAATCCCGACTGCTGGGATCAAAGCCCAAGTGAGGCATACCCATGTGGCTCGTTCTGGCCAATGAAAAGTTAGAAGTGCTATTTGTCCTGTCAGGCATAAATGTTAAAAGCCAAGACATATTTGACTACAGTCTTTTCCTTCTGCTGATAGTGGACATACTGAGCTAAGGTTTCTGTCGTCCAGAGTGATTTTAGTGGGCAGAGTCCTCCCCTCATACTGAGCCTGACGTGACCTGTACAAACACCTAACTATTATTAAACAGAACCAAACCCAAAGACATTTCTAGGCACGTGCTCTACCACTGAGCCATTCCCCTAAGCCTTGAAAGGCTTTTCATACATCATATGAAATTTCATATTTTTTGAAATGCGTTTTTGTCAGCCTCAGACGCTAATTGGGTTATTGTTGCCACTTAACCATCAATATTGCCTTTCAATATGAATATGATTAAAGTCAGAGTATTCAGTGAAAACTTTGTTTCTAAAGGAAATAAACTGAGTTTTACATACATAGATTCAGCCAACCACAGACTGAAAATGTTCAAGAAGGGTGGGTGGAGATGATGCAAATAGTACTCAAGCATGAAGTTCTCAAAAACTAAATTAAAAATCTTCAGGAAAAAAAAATGTGTACTATAAGGAGCTGGAGAGATGGCTCAGAGGTTAAAAGCGCTGGCTGCCCTTCCAGAGGTCCTGAGTTCAATTCTCAGCAACCACATGGTGACTCACAACCATCTATAATCTGGTGCCTTTTGTTGTACATACATGCATGCATGCAGAACATTATATACATAATAAACCTTTAAAAAAAAAAAACAGATTTTGCGGGGTGCAGTGGCGCACGCATGTAATTTCAGTACTCTGGAAGGCAGAGGCAGGCAGACTGCTCTGAGTTCAAGGCCAGCCTAGTCTACAAAGCAAGTCCAGGACAGCCAAAGCCTCACAGAGAAACCCTTTCTTGAAAAACCAAAAAAAAAAAAAAAAAAAAAAGTATCCTAGAGCCTTTGTTGTTGACAAACAATGCATTCTAACATTAATATACAAAAGTGTCTATTTTGTTGGGTGTGATAATGATTTAAAGAAAAGCTTCTTAAATCGTGAATCAAACCTTTATATGGTCATGTAACTTAATGTTGGGGAGTGGGTCCTGGAAATTTTGACAAAAGTGAAGTTTCTAAAAGCATGATGTCCAAAAATCAACTTAAACTCATGAGTCAGGCTGGGAGTGGTGACACACACCTTTTCTGCCAGTGCTTGGGGCAGAGACAAGTGGATCAAGTGGATCTCTTCTTGTAGATCTGAAGACAGCTTGGTATATATAGCAAGTTTCAGGTTAACCAGGTTGAGTTTCAAAAAATTTGTATGAGAGAGTGTGTGAGTGTGTGTGTGAGTGTGTGTGTGTGTGTGTGTGTGTGTGTGTGTGTATGTGTGTGTTGAGAGTGTGTGGGAGGTGGGACTGGAGAGATGGTTTGGTAGTTAAGAGCATTTACTGTTCTTCCAGAGGACCCAGGTTCAGTTCCCAGGACCTACCTGGTGGCTCACAACTATCTTTAACTCCAGTTCTGACAAGAGATCAGACACCTCCTCTGAGGTCTGTAAGCACCAGGTACACACATGGTACACATACATATGATCGTGCAAAACACTCATGCATAAAATAATCAAAAAATGTTAGTAACTTATTTGTATACATTATTAGTAATGTTTGGTTTGAATACTTATTTTACATATCTTTATATAATGAGCCTCATGGGAAAAAATTTAAGAAGCCCTAAAGTATATTGGAGAAGTGCTAGAGAAACAGCTCAGGGATTAAAGAGTACTTGTTGCTCTTTCAGAGGATCTATATGCAGTTCCCAGCACCCAAACAGTGGCTCACAAACATCCATCTCCAGTGCCAGTGGTCCAGGGATCTCTTCTAACCTCAGCAGAGACCAGGCATGCATGTGGAACACAGGCAAATGCATTTTCTTTTTTAATCTTTTAAAGTATATGGGAGAATGACTCCTAGTGGTGCCTGTCTTTAACCCCAGCACTCAGGAGACAAGGGTAAGTGGATCTGTGAGTTTGAGTCCAGCCTGATCTACTGAGCAAGTTCTTGGCTAGCCAGACTCCTTCCCCTCAAAAACTTAGTATTTGAAATAGGATCTCACTGTGTAGCTCTGGCTAGCAGAGATCCACCCGCTTCTGCCTCCTGAATGCTGGGATTAAAGGTGCGTGCCACCATTGCCCTGAGACCCTGTCTCAAAACAAACAAAACCTCGTGGGGGGGAGAAAAAGGAATATGTTTTAATAATCTGACAAATGTATAATACAGATAATAATCTATAATATAAAATAATATATAATAAAAGCGCCAGTGAGATGGCTCAGTAGGTAGAGGCACTTGCCACAAAATGTGACAACCTGGGATTCACATAAGACAGAAGGAGAGAACCAGCTCCACAAAGTGGTCCTCTGACCCCCACATGTATACACAATAACAAGTGCACATACAGTAACAAAAATAGCAACGTGTAATAATGCATAGTATATTGTAACATTTAATTGTGATATATAACATGTATTATGTATACAAATATTGTAACCAGAGATTTATTCATGATCCTCTTTCTAAACAAATAAAAAATAAGTTTTATGAAAAAAAATATTAAATTAATTGAGAGCAAAAGTGAGGGCTGAAGAGATGATTCAGCCATTAAGAGCACTAGCTGCTCTTCTAGAAGCCCTGAGTTCAATTCTCAAGCACCCACATGGAGGCTCAAAAATATCTATAACAGGATCCCATGCTCTCTTCTGATGTGCAGATGTACGTACATACAAAGCACTCATACAGATAAAATCCATAAACAAAAATAAAAGAATAAAAGGAGCGGAGAAACAGCTCAGTGGCTAAAGCGCTCACCACACAAGCCTGAAGACCTGGGTTCAAACCCCTAGCATCTGTATAAATGTTGGGCAAGTATGGTGACCACTACCTGAATCCCAGGACAGGGGTCAGCTGGCCATACAATGAGCCAATTTGGGGATTGTGCAGTAGCTAGAACTCTCCAGCAGCCTGAGGGTTCGCTCTGGGCATCCACCTCATTCCTCTGTCTTTCTGGTCTGGCTATTCTCTAATACTCAGTTGACAAGAAAGAGAAAAAAGGGCCACTGTACTTTCCCTATTCCCACATTGTGGAACCTCCACAGGGAGAATGGACCTAATGCTAGATCCCTGATTTCTTGGAGACACAGGGCCCAGGTTAGGTCAGGAGTTCTTTCTTATTCTATTCGGTAATAGTCAGGGACTCTGGGAAATCACACACAGACATATGACTGCTGTGGCCCTTTATCATGACTCCAAGGAGGATGAGGAATGCTCAGGATGTATGTGGGCCTAAAGTTAGCTTGGTGCCAAAGCCAGGGGGTAGCTCTGGATGCAGACAGCAGAGAAACTCTACCAATTAATACCAAGCCTGTTAAAGGACACAGAGACACAGAGACACGGAGTGCCATATGAAAATAACAATTTAATTTGCTAAGGCTATAGCATCGCCTACCTGTCCTGCACTTAGTTGTCCTAGGCCTGCACAAGCAAGGACCGACCAGCCAAGTGGGGAGAATAACCTGAGCTGAGGCTATGTTCAGAGGTGAGCAGGGGGCTGGGCTGAGTCCTTTCGGCCTTGACCAGCAATGGGCCTGCCTCGCTCCTCCCAGATAGTGAGGCCGTCACATGAGCAGATCTGTTTGGGATTCTGAAAAAGGCCAGCAGAGCGCGCGATGATACCACAGGCCAACCTGTGGGAGGATGTATGGTCAGCATGGGCCTCCTCAGGGTTCCATCGCCCCACTGGCATGTCAGTGCCTCCTGCTGAGGATGGCATACTCACCTCTTCCCAGAGTTCCCTGTGATCTTGGATAAGGTATGGCCTCCCCGGCCCAGGTCATCTTCTCCCTCATCGACAACGAGACTGCGGCCAATCACATCCCACACCTTTGAAGGGAAACAATAACCTGTCTCCACTGTCCTTCAAGAGAGTCCCCCACATTTTCCTCATCTTACCTTCAGCTTTTCATCCTCTATCCGGAAGGTGGCTCGGCCACCATCATCAGCCTGGATGTTGCCCAGATCTCCCCGGTGCTGAAATGAGACCCATGGGGAAAAGAAAGTTGCATAGCCATGGCCGGTATCTTTTGCCTTCCTAGGATCTGATTCCTCACCCCACCTCTCCAAGCTTCTAATTTCCTCCTGCAGGTATCATCTGGAAGGAATCAAAGATCACCAGACACTCCCTTCCCTGGGAGTAAAAGCCTGGGCAGAAAGCCACCGTGCTGCAAAGAACCAGCATTCCCTGTCAGACTCAACCTCTTCCCCTACAAGCCTGTTGCCAAGCCTGGATTCCATCCCTAGTCAGCTAAGTTCCTGTCTCTAAGCCCAAATGTTCAGGAGTTCTGGGAACCCTGAGCCAGCCTCCACTCCCTGAGGCTTAAGATGACTGTGTTTGGCTTTTCTGAATATCACAGTGGCCAGCATTACTTTCTTGACTGTTGGAGGTTGGTCTGATGTGTGTTATTGGCCCTTATGATCTGGTTACATCTATCTTTGTTTTGTAAATCGGCCTAAGATGTATCTGATTGGTTAAGCAAAGTCTATATACCTGGGCAGGGCAGAATGGGGTAGGTGTGGCTAAGGTTCCCAGGCTTTGGGGGTTCAAGAGAGGATCATGGGAAAGAGACAGATGAGAAGAGAGGAGGATGCCATGATGAGTTAGTGTGGAGAAAAACCAAATGGGTGGGGAGAAAGAACTCCAATGATGTCATGAAAAGGCCCAGATGAAGAATAAAAGCAAGTATAAGATTATGGATGGAAGAGAGAATGGTTAAGGAGAATGGCATTGGATGGGGGGCTGGGAGATGGAAGGTGAGGATATTGAAACAGTGTAAGTGAAATATCTGCCCAGCCCAAGGTAAATAAGGCAATTATAAATCTAACAGGTGTCTGTATCTTATTTGTGATAGTGGGATAGAAAATACCACTGTGATAATCTTAGGGCAAATAATAATAAACATTATATAGCCAAACATCTTTTTTTCTTTTTCTTTTTTTCTTTCTTTCTTTTCTTTTCTTTTTTTTTTTTGGTTTTTTTTTTTTTTTTTTTTTGTTTTTTGTTTTTTTTTACATCACCTGATTCCCTAGCCTCTTTTTTTACATCACCTGATTCCCTAGCCTCAAGGAACAAGTGGGAAAACAAGTATGGGGCAGGAGGACCAGACAAAGAGATGACTTTGCGTACCTCTCCCTTGAGCGTAACCAAAATGTCATAAGGGCTGGGACAATGGCTCAATGGCTGTCATGCAAGTATCAGGGCCAGAGCTCAGATTCCCAGCACCCATGTGAAAGCTTAGCATGATGGCACATGCCCATAAAACCTAGTGGGGATACAGAGACAGAGGTTCTGGGAACTCCTACTAGTCAGCAAGTCTAGTGAAAAATAGCAAGCTTCAGTTTTAATGAAGAGACTCTGTCTCAAAAATAGTAAGAATAAAGTGGACAGCAATAAAGAAAGACAATCAAGCCAGATGAGGTAATCCCAGCACTCAGGAAGCAGAGGCAGGTGTATCTCCTTGAGTTTGAGGCCAGCCTGGTCTACAAAGCAAGTCTGGGACAGCCAAGGCTACACAGTCTTGAAAAAAAGAAGAAAAGAAAGATAAGCAAAGTCAACTTCTGGCCTCCATGTACATAGGGACAGGTGTGTGTGTGTGTGTGTGTGTGTGTGTGTGTGTGTGTGTCCAGAAAGACCATTTCTTTTCCAAGATCACAGGGAACTTTGGGAAGAGGTAAGTTATGCCACCTCCAGTAGGAGACAGTGACATGCAGTGAGGCACATGGAACCCAGGGGGAAGCCTAGAGGTGGCCCATGCTGACCATACATCCTTACACACACACACACACACACACACACACACACACACACACACACACTCCCCAAGGTAGACACTCTGCCAGCCATAGTGAGCACTGTCCATGCTCCCCACTTTTAAAGGCCTCCGATAAGGACAGAGGTCATTGTAGAACAGAGCAAGGACAAGTGATACTGTGGACCCATGTGGTGAGCCGCAGAAAACCTACATCTGTGCAATCATTCCCAACCTGATTTCATGAGCAGACCCAAATCCCTAGGCTGGGGTGAGCTGTCCCCACAGTCTGTTGAGCAAAAAAGAATGTCAGTGACTTCTCCAGTCATATTGGTGCAGGCTTTTAATCCCAGCACTAGGAGGCAGAGGCAGACAGATCTCTGTTAAATTCAAGGCGAGACCAGTCCATAGAGCAAGTTCCAGGACAGCCAGGGCTACACAGAGAAAGCATGTCTCAAAAAACAAAAACAAAAAACCCACCAATGATAACAAAAATGGAAATATGGCTTCAATTATATCTTGTCTAGAGGCAGAGCTGGCACAGCTGGCAATTTTTTTTTTTTTTTTTTTTTTTTTTGGCACATTGCCCTATGCTAAAGACTTTAATGGTATAGAGTCAAGGTGGGGAGATGACAAGAACCTCACCAAATGTTTTTGGGCTTGAAGAACAACCCAGGCAGTATGACTTGAAGGCATGACCTTGAAAGGGGGACGGGAAAGGCAGCTTTTTCATTCCCTCCCTAAGCAAACGGCAGGCAGAACTGATCAGAGGCCTTCAATGCCAGAAGGATGCTGGTCACAGCCTGTACTTTTGGCTCTTGGGGATCCAAGAAGAGTTTCACACAGGGCATGGCAAGACTCCTTTGTACATCAGAGGAGTCCCCGTAGTATAACAGAGAGGGCTAGAGGCAGTGGCAAGGGATGGAACCTGAGAGACTTAGCAGGCTTGGATGAGATTCCCCATGCTGACTTTAATTCCATCTGGGTGAAGCCAGGTGCTGACACCTAGAAAAGCTGCTGAATACTGTGCTGTCTTAGCTACTCCATTCTTGCTCATTTCTTTCTTCATCTTGTGGGGAGATGGCTCAAATGACTTAAAAAACCAAGTAATTTTAGAGTCTTACACAGGATACGTACATGCTCTACAAATAGGCTACACCTGTAACTTTTTGTTTTTCTCATTTAATTGTTTGTGTGTTTGTTTACTTATTGTCTGTGTCTATGCATGTACACATGACACATACAAGACCATATGGAAATCAGACCAACAAACAGGAGACAGTTTTCTCCATCATGTGGTTACTGGAATCAAACTCAAGTTGTCAGTCTTTACCCCCTGGTTTTTTTGGGGGGGAGGAAGGGGAATGTTTGTTTGTTTGTGCTTTTAGAGAACAGGGTCACATATAACCCTGTATAGCCCTGAATTTTCTATGTAACCAAGGCTGGCCTTGAACTCCCAATCTTCCTGTCTCTACCTCCAAAATGCTGGGATTACTGGTTTGTGTCACTATACCTGGAACAATCCTCTTCAGTTTCGTTTCCTTGGTCACTTCTGATCCACTGTCCTAGGTAGGGTCTAAGGATGAGGACACAAGTCCGGAGGCAATCTTTTGCCTTTTAAACATTTCTGTTTTGTTGTGACTTAAATGGCTTCTTCTGGTGGCTGTGCCATCCTGTCTCACCTGTTCACATGCAGAGCCCCTCATATCAGCCTTCAAAACCCAAGGAGGCAGAGAGCCTATGGAGGGCCCTCCCTGGATTTGCATTCTATGTGATTCACCCACTTTTGTGTGGACTGGACCAAGTATCATTTCTTGGATTAGATTGCAGCATGAATCTTTCTTCCATGTTGGATGGCTTCTCATCCTCTCACATGTCCTAAAGAGACACTAGCTGATGAGTGATGAGCTGCTCTATCGAGAGGCTCACATGACAAATGATTGATGTCTGGTCAGTAGCCGGGAAAGACCCAGGGCCTGCCAAGGAGCAACACTGCCAACTGCCAGTAGCCATGGGGATGCAGATCTTTACCACACTGAACTCTGAAACAACTGAGGCTCCTGGAAACTTTGAGCCAGAAGCACCCAGAGAAACTGGGAGATAGTAAATGCTTGTCATTTCATGCCTCAATATTAGTGGCATTAAACTCAAGACGACATCACTTAACATACTGAGCAGAGGCATTGTGCAATGGACCAGACAAAAGCAAAGGTCTACCCCACCCTCAGATCAGGGAAAGAGAACTTTGGCTATCAGGATGGAGCTGCTAAATGATGGCTTATGTTTATTAAGAAACACACAGGCAGCCGGGCATGGTGGCACACACCTCAAATCCCAGCACTTGGGAGGCAGAGTGTGAATCTCTGAGTTTGAGGCCAGCCTGGTCTACAAAGCAAGCCCAGGACAGCCAAGGCTACACAGAGAAACCCTGTCTTGAAAAACCAAAAAGAAAAAAAAAACACATAGGCAGACGGGCAATGGTAAACCATGCCTTTAATCCCAGCTCTTGGGAGGCAGAGGCAGGCTAATCTCTAAATCTGAGATTAGCTTAGTCTCCAGAGGGAGTTCTAGAATGGCTAGGGCTACATAAAATGTAGGGCTACACAGGCTACACCATGGAGCCTAGCTCTAAAGATTTATTTTTATTTTCTTTATGTGTATATGTCTATATATGTGTATATACCACATTGTGTATGGGTGCCTGTGGAAGCCAAAAGAGGGTGTTGGAACCCCTGCAGCAGGAATTACAGGCAATTGTGAGCCACCCAACATGGATGCTGGGAACAAAATTCAGGTTCTCCGAAAAAAACAAAAGGCAACCTTAACCACTGAGCCACCTCTCCAGCCCTACAATTCTAGAATATTTTCATACTCTTAACTAGTTAGGCACTCCTAATTAAAAATAATCTAAACTCTTATCAGGGTCCCAGAGTTTGGAACACCTAGATGTGGAACCTGCAGATAGGGATGCCCAGCTTGTACCACAGCTCCACAGGATTGGGACACCCAGCTTGTACCATAGCTCCACTGGATTGGGACACCCAGCTTGTACCATGGCTCCACTGACTTTGTGCCAAGAAGCTGTGGGCTGGCATCAAGATAGAAAGCAAGGCACAGTGACTCACGCCTGTCATCTCACACTTGACAGGTAGAGGAAGAGCAAACCTTCAAGGTCATCCTTGGTTAATTGATGACTTTGAGGCCAGCCTGGACTACTTGAGACACTATCTCAAAGAAATAAACAAAATAATAGAAAATAAAAACAAACTCTTCCAGTCCTGAGAAGATCTAAGAAAGAACTACGATTTTGTTGTTTTTGTTCTTTTTTCCAACTTCCAGAGCCAGAACTCACCTTAGGGCTTATCTCCAAGTACAGGAAGGGGATGCATTCCCCTGAGAAAGGAGGTGCTAAGAGATGTGCAACAGGGCACGAAGGAACACAAAATCTCTGAGCAAGAAAGCAATGTTTTTGTGATGGCTAATTTTAATTACCAATTTGATTGGATTGACAAACACCTAGGAAATTTGTTTTTGTTTTTTGTTTTGTTTTGGGGGGGGTTGTTTTTTGTGTTTTGCTTTTGTTTTTGTTTTGTTTTGTTTGAGACAGGGTTTCTCTGTGTAGCCTTAGCTGTCCTGGACTAACTTTGTAAACCAGGCTGGTCTCAAACTCACAGTGATCCACCTGCCTCTGCCTCTCAAGTGCTGGGATTACAGGTGTGTGCCACTGTGCCTGGCTCACCTCAGAAATTTGTAAAGCACACTTCTGGATCTGTAAACCAGGATTGCTTTGATGTAATCAATGGATTAATCCCTTGATGGATTCATGATGTGTTGACATTACTGGTGAAGGGCAGGAGCTGGAGCTTAAGAGGGAGGAACCAGATTGCTGGGAAAATGTCCTTGCCTGTCCTTTTCCTGTGTCCCTTTTCTCTAAAGGTTTTCTGCTTACCATGCTGTGAACTGTCCTCTACCATGACCTTCCTGCTCAATCAAACAATTAAATAATGGACAGTACAGATGTGCACACTTAAAACAAAGGACACTAATGTGGCAAGGAACTCCCTGGAGACAGGAGAATTCTATGGTGGATACTGTAACCCAGTGTGGCTGGAAATGCAGCTCAATAGCAGCAGCAGAACATGTGGCTAGCATGAGAGTGGCCTCAGGTTCCATGCCTAGCACTACAGGAAAGGAAAGGGCTGAGGAAGAGGGGACAGAGGGGCAGGGAAGGAAAAAGAAAAAGGAAAAGCCCAAGGGTTCCTGCCGAGAGTATCTTTCAATACAGCCATGGAATTCCCTTACTAGACTGTGAGCTTCCTCGGGGCAGACACTGGGGGTACAGAATGGTACCCCTGGGGCCTTGATCATAACAAGTATGGAGCAAAGTTCCTAAGTTAATCAGCATCAGGTGAGAGGGAAAACCCACACACAAAGCAATCACAGTGCAAGACCCAAGAATGGCCTGCCTACCTCTGAGTCCCTGGGTTCTCTCCATGCCCAAACCCTGCCCAAACCTACACTTACCCGGTCAGTGTCCTGAGGGCCCCCATGAGATGTTCCATCAGGATTATAATGGTCCCCACAGCTAAGGATGAAAAGTAGCATATGGGTATCCAAATAATCATGTCTAGGCCCTCTTCTCTGACTACCTTTGTTCATTCATTCATTCATTCATTCATTCAATAAAAAGATCTATTGTGTGCCAGGATTTGAGCAAAAAAACAAAACAAAACAACAACAACAACAAAAAAAAAAAAACAGAAACTAGCACATGAATTATGAATTATGTCTTCCATGAGTTTCTACTTGAGGAGACACAGAGGAGTAAACAACCAATCAGATCACAGAAGACACAACTAGACACTGGGCCCCTTCCTTCCCTGTGTCCAGGAGTCACCTCAGATCTTGATTCATATCCTCTGAGGCCTTTCATATGCTGTGTAACCTCTTTAGCCTCAGTTTCCTAATCTGTACACTGGGCCTGTGTATACATGCCCCCACCAGAGTACTTGTGAGGACAGAAAGTGAAAGTGTGTAGCTAAAGGCGCTACAGGGATGTTATAGCTGACTTACCTGTAGCAGTCTTTTGTGAGGTCTCCATACTGATGGACATGGAATCCGTGCAGCCCAGACTCCAGGCCATCGATGGTTCCCTCGATCAGGCAGCGCTCAGGTGTCAGCTGTAGGAAGCGGACCACGCCTTGTATGTTTCCTTGGCCCTCCAGGATGGCCACTGCTGCTCCCAGATTCTCTGCAAGGTAGGAAATGCTCACTGTCCTTCCATCTCACCAAGCCCCGAGTGAACCAGCCTGACCACTGTGAGATTAAGATCCATCTGGTTACAAGGTTTTCTGTCAAACTTGGGTTTGACCACGTCTTGACCTAGTTTCTGGAATCTGATGTGTTTTACACTCTATACCCTGACCTCCACCCTTGATAAGATAGGACATTCTGCCAAAGAATTTTGAGATGTTCTGCCAAGTTATCAAAAACTCTTGGAAACCCCCAAGCCTTGTAGTTTTTTTTTTTAAGGCTATATAAGCCCTACTTTTTCCTAAGTCCAATGCTATTTTCTCAAACACTACTATTTTCTGTTAGCCCTGTCTAACAGAAAATAAAGCTTGCTTAATTTAACTAAAGCAATTTGGGTAGCGGTCTTTTTTTTTTAAATAAGTTTTTTTTTCTCCTTCTTGTTTTGTTTTAAGATTTATTTATTTACTTATTATTTATATAGCATTCTGCCTGAATTTTGTGCCTACAGACCAGAAGAGAGCACCAGATCTCATTATAGATGGTCGTGAGCCACCATGTGGTTGCTGGGAATTGAATTCAGGACCTTTGGAAGAGCAGCCAGTGCTCTTAACCGCTGAGCCATCTCTCCAGGCCCCTGGGTAGCAGTCTTAACTCTCCTCTGGGTGGGATAACCCCCTGTCCTTTCAGTGGCTCGGGGATGGCATATAACCTTCCTAACTCCCCAAGGTCAATTCAGCCCAGTCGGAGACTCCTACAGATAGATGCACATCACTTCTTGCTCCAGCCCTACAACCCCAGAGGCCAAGGCCAAGACTGCAAGCCGTCACTCACGTAATTGGCTGCTGCCCATGCCCTTGAGCACAGCCTGCCGCCCTGTGCTTTCCAGAAGCGCTTGCACCTCCTGGCTGGGCAGGGTGGTCTGCACCAAAACCATCTGGTTCTCCAGCTGCACCTCCACACTCTGGACACCTGGCAGAGACAAGTGGGGAGGGTCAGCAAAGGGTTGGCGTCAGCTGTTGGGAGCACAGCATTTCTCCCATCCCCGTTTTTTACAAAGTTTCCTATGGCCAGAGCTAAAGCTGGAAGCTTCCTTCCAGTAGTAAGAACTTGGGTGTGATGTTGTGTGTGTGTGTGTGTGTGTGTGTGTGTGTGTGTGTGTGTGTGTAAGGAATGGAACTCAAGGCCTCTCGGACTCTCACATACTAGGCAAGTACATCTATTTGTTTGTTTGTTTGTTTGTTTGTTTGTTTGTTTGTTTGTTTTGAGACAGGGTTTCTCTGAGTAGCAGCCAGAGAAAAAGGTATGCACCACCACACCTGGCTTATTCCAGCCCTTTTTTTGAATTCTTAATACCTGTCAGATACTATCTTGCTTTCTGTTTTATTGAGACAGGGTCTCACTCTGTAGCCCAAGCTGGTCTGAAACTCAATATTTAACCCAGGTTGGCTTTGCACTTGAGGTGATTCCTCTGTCTCAGCTTTCTAAAATCTAGGATATACCACCACACCCGGCTTATAACTTTTGAAACATAGAAAATTCTTCTTAAAACTTTTTTATAAAGCTGGGAGTAGTGACACACACCTTTAATCCCAGCACTAGGGAGACAAAGGAAGGCAGTGAGTTCAAGGCCAGCCTGGTTTAGAAATCAAGTCCAGGACAGCCAAGGCTACACAGAGAAGTCCTGTCTCAAAAAGCCAGTGAAGTACGAACACCTGCTGCTCCATGAAAGCCAGACACAAACAGCTATATATACTACATGATACCATTTGTATAAAATGTCCAAAACAGGCAAATCTATAGACAAGAAATAGATTAGAGGACAGAGTAGAGGAATAGGAAGGTGATAAGAGGATACATGATTACAAGGTAATGAATATATATACAACCACAGAGGTGATGGCTGCCCAGCTCAGTGAGTGAATTAACTCAACTGTATACTTCAAATGGGTGAATTTTATAGCATGTGAATTTTAGCTCAACAAAGCTGTTACTCGTGTTAAGAAGAGAAGGACCATGGCTCCTCATCCTGAGAGCTGACACTGAGCACGTACCATGGACTAAGCTTTCTTCCTTATTTGAAATTTATTGACTATGTTGTATAAGTGCTTTGCCCACATATATGTATATGCGCCATTTGCATGCAGTGTCTGCAGTGGCCCTAAGGGGACGCTGGATTCCTTGGAAGTAGAGCTGCAGGCCACTGTGAGCTGCCATGTGCTAGGAACTGAAGCCAGGTCTTCTGCAGGAGCAGCCAGTGTTCTTTACCACTGAGCCATATCTCCAGCCCATGAAGCCCTCATTGGTGTGTTTTACCTGCATTGTTCCATTTCAGATTCACAGTATCCCTGGGAATTTACCTGTTTTACAAGGATATCAAGGCACAGAACAACGAAGCAATATATTGAAAGTAGGTAGGTTGCGAAACTAGAACTCAGTCCAGGCAGCCTAGCGACAGAGCAAAAACAATTAACCCAAACCTTTTTTCTACTCATTGTAAAAGAGCCCCTAACCCAAGCTTCCTGGGAATCCCCCAAAAAGTAGACACACAGTGTCTACTGCAACCCCCACATTCACTGAGCAAACATTCTACACTGATCACAATTCTTTGTTTCCCTCACCAGGCTGTTAACCCAACGAGGACCATGTTTTCTGGTCTGAGTAAGTGAAAGCAACTTGGCTTTCATAGCTGGGCAGGAGAGTTTGTTTACAGAATACACTGAGGGAGAGAGTTGCCCAAGGCCATGAGAGAGAGAGAGCTTTACTCTCCTCCCAGAGGTAATGGCAAGAGCTCAACCCTGAAGCCCTTCACATTTGCCCTACAGTAACTGTGGCCTCTCTTTCCTCTTCACTGAGCCCTCACCAAAGGCTGGCCTGGCCATACTCCAAGATCCACCTGCCAAACAGAACTGCTGCTCTGCTGGAAGCCCCACCCACTTCTGGTTCAGACTGAGGTGGGGTATTCAAAAGGCAGTAATCCCAAGGAGTGCTCTGCTCACATCAGGCGCCCAGAACCAGCTCCTCCTAGGAGAGCGTGAGTCTGGGACTCCACCCCATGCTCAGACCAGACCATCAGGAAACCTTATCTGCTGTGTGTGCAAAACATACTGGGGCCTTAGTACTTATCCTGGACACCTCACTTCTTAGCCTGCTCAAGAACCCTATCTATGGACTCCCTGTTTTCTTTGACTCTTTAGTTCAGTGGTTTTCAACCGTCCTAAACGCTGAGACGCTTTAATAGTTCTTCATGTTGTGGTGACCACCCCCCAACGATACAGTTATCTTTGTTGCCACTCCATAAATGTAATTTTGCTACTGTTATGGATCCTAATGTAAATATCTATGTTTTACTGTGGTCTTAGGCAAACCACAAAGGAGTTGAGAACCGAAGGTTAAGAACTGCTGCTTTAGCAGCTTTCCAGAAAAAAGCCAAGGTGATTTTCTTTGATGTGTAATATGCGTGTGTGTGTGTGTGTGTGTGTGTGTGTGTGCGCACACACACACACGCACGCGCGCATGGATGCTACCAAAGGTGGGGGTATGTACTTGTGCAGGTGGGTGTGGAGGCCAGGTGCCTTCCTTGATAGAGCTCTACCTTTTATATTGAGACAGGTCTGTCACTGGAAGCCAGAACTCACTGATTTGGCCAGTCTAGCTATCCAGTTTGCCCAGGGATCCCAGCGTCTATCTTCTCAGTGCTAGGACTACAGGGGGGCTGCACATCTGGGCGTTTATACAGGTGCCAGGAATCTGCACTCACACTGACACCGCTGTCACTCTTACCATCTCAGCCATCTCCCTAGCCCTGTGCAGACACATGGTGCACAGACACATACAAGCAAAACCCATACATAGAAAATAAAACAAATTTTAAAAATAAAAATAAACCTTAAAAAAAATCTGTAATCCCAGCACTCGGGGAAGCAGAGGCAGGTGGATCTCTGTGAATTTGAGGCCAGCCTGGTCTACAAAGTGAGTCCAGGACAGCCAAAGCTACACAGAGAAACCCTGACTCAAAAAAGGAAAAATCTGCTACAAGCCAGCCAGATGGCTCAGCAGGTAAACTGTTCTTGACACAAGACTTGACAGCTGGAAGCAGAGAACCACTGTGACCTCCTCTCTGACCTCCTCATGTACAACCATCCTCTCACAAACTAATAATAAATTTAAAAAAATCAGTTCCAGGCCCAGTGTGGTAGTGCATGACTTAGATGTCATCTCAGCACCCAGGAGTTAAAGGCAGGCGGATCTCTGTGAACTGGAGGCCAGCCTGGTCTACAGAGTGAGTTCCAGGTCAGCTAGGGCTATGTAGAGAGCCCTTGTCTCAAAAAAAACTTCCCCCAATTTCCCCCTGAACACCACCTCTGCCTGTAAGCCTTTTTCCTCTTACAATTCCCCTGAGACTGAATGGGCTCTCACTACCCGCATCAACTAATTCATCTTCATGACAACACTAGGCTATGAACACCATACAAACAGGGCAGAAACAGAAGCATAGGAAGTAAGCACGAAGTCATTGTGCTAGTACGTGGCAAAGAGGACATCTGAATGCAAACAGACCTGACGCCAGAGTGCATCTGTCTCATGACTATACAAACTGCCCCCTCACCAAGTGTCCTGGCTTCAGGCCCTTCTCATCTCCTTCCTTCCCTTCCCACAATGGCTTCCCAATGACGTGTTCTGTGAGCGCTCCTTCGGCAAGGCTTGTTTGGCCTTCGCCTGAGGGCAGGGGTAAACTTATTGTCTTCAGAAGCCTCCAATGTCTAATTGACACTTGCTAAAAGGTTGGATGAACAGTTAACAGAATGAAAAAAAAGCTAGTTTCCAGTGTCAGGAAGGTGACTCTGCCTTTCATGTCTTTCCACTTGCGCCAGATCACCCTCAGACCTCCTGGCTTAAGCTCACTGAATTTGGGCCAGGGATGCTGTTTGCTTTCTCGGAACTGTGCTGTTTCCCAAGCACGACCTCAGGTGTCCCCCAGAACGCCCTCGGTAGGAGGTGCTATATACTCTAGCTATCTCTGTGAGGCTCAGCAGCCGGACAGAAGGTGCTAGTTGAGAGCTCGTGCAAGGCAAGCTTGAGGCCTGCACTCTAGGCTCTGCCTCTGGGTCTCTGAGACTCAGAGATGTTTCCTTCCATTTTTTTTTTTTTTCCTGCATCTGTGCAATACGGAATACGGTTAAACACAACCCCTGGGCTGATCCCAGAAAGATTTCTTCTCCTTTTACCTGCCACCCCTTGCAGGGTCTTGTGCACGGCGTCCACACAGCTCTGACAGGTCATCTGCACTGTAAACTCCAGCTATAAGAGCAGCAGGACCGGGGTTCGTGTCAGACATGATCTTGATTCACCTTCCCTATGATGACTCTGAGCACACGTCGCACATGGCCTCTGTTCAAATCCCTTCTGAACCCTCCCACACCACCAACGTGAGGGGCACGGCTACCCCAACTCCGTAATTTCACCTCCTCAGGAGCCTGCTCTTTCCTGGCTTCCCAAAATAACGATCACCCCCAAGGGCTGAAGCCATGTGAGGCCCCGAGACACAAAGCCTTCACTCACCGCGCACACGGTCCTACCGTCCCCCGATTTCGAAGCCATCCTAAATGTAGTCAGCCGCCGGCGCCACACCACCACAGCTAGTTAGGGTCCAAGAACTAACAGCCTCCGGAGACACCCTTTGCTCCACCTCCTCGGCGCGTGCGCGTGCTCGGCGCAGGCCTGCGGGTTACCCACCAGCTGCTACCGGCTGCGCAGGCGCATTGATGGCATCGGCGCTGATTTCCTTAGTAACCATTTGGCGTACCCTACTGGCTCGGCGGGCTCCGTCTGCGTAAAGATGGAGCCTTGGCGCCGGGCGCCCGACCTCAGGCCGTTTTACCACCAGCTGCTGAGTCCGCTGTCGCTCTTTCCCCGCAAGGAGACGCCTCCAGAGCCTCCGAAGCCTCTCTCGCAAGAGCACTCGGTTTTGCAATCCATCCCGCTCGCGAAGCTGAAAGTGGGGCAGCTATGCCGCCAGGTGTCCAAGAGGCTAGCAGGCAGCGGGCGGGCGGCGCGGGTGACTCCCGAGGACCGACTCCGTCTCACCGAGGTTATCCTAGAGGAGCTGAAGTGCAGCTGGCAGGAACCTCCGACAGAACCCATTCTGAACTACGAGAACAATCTGAAGCTGCGGAAGCGGCTGGAGTCCTACGTGCTGATCTGTAGTGAGCAGCTCTTCGTACGCTACCTGCACCTGCTGGTGACCCTGCCGCCCTCCAGAAAGGTCTTCACTGAACCGGCCACCCTCAGCCGGTTGGCAGCCAGCCTTGCCAGGGATTGCACGGTCTTCCTCACCAGTCCCGATGTCTACCGCTGCCTGCTGGCTGATTTTCAAATCTTACGGAATTTAGAGCAGACCCAGGATGGCTTATCCAAGCTGCGGCCCCCTGCCTGTCCCCCTGGGACTTTCAAGCTCTGTCCAATCACCTGGCCTCACAGCACCGGCTTAGACCAAGTGCCATGCTCTAGCCTCAACCTGAACTACCTTATCCAACTTAGCCGCCCATATGAGTTCACCAGTGAGCCCGAACCTGATCCAGTGAAGGAGTTGAAATCCATCCCCCTGCTGAAAGGGAGGAAGCGGCTCCTCTGGGTGCTCTCCATGAAAAAGGAAAAAGAAAGTGAAGTGAGATCCTCACAGATAGCAGCACTGCCTGGCCATTCTCCTCCCAGCAGTAAGGTCGCCCTGTTCCCCAGTTCACCAGTCTTGTCCCGGCTCCAAAGGGGTCAATCCATGCCCTGTCTTCGTGAGGGGTGGAGACTGGCAGATGAGTTGGGCCTTCCTCCGCTCTCCCCTCGTCCCCAAACCCCGTTGATCTTGACTCCAGAGATTACACCGCTGCTGTTTGGGGACGTAGTGGCTGAGGATCTGAAGCAGATGGTAAAGACCATGACGATGGAGATGACTCACTACTCCCCACTGGACAAGGGCCTGCCTCCTCTCCTTGGGGTCCTTACCCGGCGCCTAACTGCCCAGCACCACATAGAGGACCTGCAGCAAATGCTGAAGAGCCTACAGGCTGAAGAAGCCTCTGGCCAGTGGGATCTCCACCCCGAAATAATCACTCCACTTTACCCACAGCCAGTGACTATTACTTTGAAGCTACAAAACCAGCTCGTGTTCCAGGTCACTACTCTGCAACTCTCTGACAGGAACTATTCTGACTCTTTCCATGTTGAGGAGGCTGGGGTCCTATACAACCATCTGAATGGGGAACTGGATAGCAAAGCCATCGAACAAATGGATGCTGACCGTCTTGTTGGTAATAAAACCAAAGAGGTATACAAGGAACTGATGAGCCGAGTCTCTACCAGCCATTTCTCTTTTGAGGAAGGACCCCAGATTGAGCCTTCAGCAGATAAAGATTGGTCCTCCCTCCTGTCCTCAGTTTTGATATGTGAAGGTAAAAAGAACTCCCTCATTAATCACTATCTGGTTGGACTTAACACCAAGAAAACAAGCAGTCAGCAGTTGCGCCCTGAGAAGGAGGCTTCTGTCACATTACCTCCGAGGGGCAAAGGCAGGGACAACCAGTCAGGTAAGGGTGTATGGTCGAACTGGTGGAAAACCGCTGTGTCCTCGGATGACTACTTCAAGTTCCTCCACACTCAGGAGACAGATTTCCTCCATGTCATCTTCCGAATGTACGAAGAAGATGTTCCTGTGGAGGTACCACCCCCTGCCAAAGAGACCCTGAGGATTCGGCACCCGCCTCCTCTGCAGGAAGATGAAGAGCCAGAGTTTGTGCCAGGAGAGTGGAACTGGAACCCGTTGACAGAAGACAGCATGGGGCCTGGGAAAGCCCGCATCCTAAACTTGCAGCAGCGTCTAGAAAGACTGTGGATCGTGTTGGAAGTCCCTGTCCAGAGCCAGCTGGACATGGTCATTAAGTACAGCTCCAGCGCGCGCCTGCGTCAGCTTCCAACCTTAATCAGGGCCTGGGAGCGGGCCCTGAAACCCATTCAGACGCGGGAGTTGTTGCTAGGGAGACTAGAGTGGTTTGAGCGACAAGCCTCCGACCCAAACCGCTTCTTCCAAAAGCCCGATTTGCTGCTGAATCGACTCCTGGAGGAGAATGTGATCCGTAGCCAACTCCAAAGGAAGCTCAGTCTGATAGAACCGCCTTTGACTTCCTTCCTGGAAAAGATAGAGTCAATCTTTGGGGAGCCAGTGACCTTCAAGGGGCGTCGCTATCTGGAGAAGATGAAGCAGGACAAAGTGGAGATACTGTATTGGCTCCAGCAGCAGCGACGGGTTCGAAATCTGATCCGGGCCCAGAAAGCCTTGGCCCAGAAAGCCTTGCACCAATCCACGAGGATCAGCAGCCGAGCTTTGATAGCTCCTAAGAATACTCCTATTGCCCGCTAAGGACACCAAGTGTTCTTAAATCCCTTCCTCACCCCCCAAATGCTCACATAGATCTCTCAATGGCTTTGGAAGAAGTACGGATATCTTTATAAGAGAGTGAGATTCTTTCTCTTGACATTCTAAATAAAAGCATCTCCAAACCTGGTATTCCCACGTATGTTAATAGTGCTGCACAACACAACCAAAATCCCCTACGAGGTGGTCCCATGGAGTCCATTCTCACAGAGGTCAGATAGAGCAAGTCATGACCTTTAGAACAGTTCAGTTTAATGGTCCTATCTGGCTATGTCAAGTAGGCTGCTGCAAGCTCCAAGTCACTCTTGTCTAGGCTCAATGGCACAACACCTAAACAGATGTGTGTGAATCCTGTCTGTATGACTTAGGGCAAGTCACCTAATTTCTCTGTACTTGTCAAATAAGGAGCTGGGTCCATGTCGTTCCTTCCAGTTCTTACACACTGCTGGCAGGGCTGAAGAACTGTTAGATTTTTGCCTGTTAATAAAAACACTGTAGGCTGGAGAGATGACTCAGCAGTTAAGAGCACTGTCTGCTCTTCCAGAGGTCTGGGGTTCAATTCCCAGCACCCACATGCCAGCTCAGAACCATCTATACTGGGATCTGATGCCCTCTTCCTTTTTTTTTTTTTTTTAAGACTTATTTATTTATTATGTATACAGTGTTCTGCCTGCATGTGTGCCTGCACAACAGAGGCAGGCACTGAGGAGGCAGAGGCAAGCAGATCTCTGTGTTTGAGGCCAGCCTGGTCTACAAAGAGAGTTTCAGGATGGCCAAGAGCTAACACAGAGAAACCTTGTCTCAAAAACCCAAACCAAAACAAACAAACAAACAAAAAGCTGTGTTTTTTTTTTTTAAACAACCAAAATTCTCACTACAGCTGACTACTGTGGGAAAATATTTTTTAATGTAAGGAAGAGGACAATAAGGGTGAATGACATTTTAATTAAGGTGGTCTTACTTAACAAAGCTGGCTTCCAACTCACAGAGGTCCACCTGTCTCTGCCTCCTAAGTACTGGAATGAAAGGTTTGCATCACCCATGCTCAACCTAAAGGTAATTTTTTTAATTTTAATTTTTAAACCTTTACTGTCTAGGAGGTGACAAATATCTCTCTTGTCAGCCAGATGTGGTGACATACACCTTTGTGTGTGTGTGTGTGTGTGTGTGTGTGTTTGTGCAAGGTGTGTTGTGGGTGTATGTGGAGACTGGAGGTCAATTTTAAGTGTAACTGTTTAGGAGTCCTCCACTTTGTTTTGTTTTGTTTTGTTTTGGACAGGGTCTTTCATTGGCTAGGCTCAGGCTGCTTTCCACCTACCTCTATCTCCCCAGCCCATGCCCAGCCTTCTAGACAACTTCTGGGGATCAAGCTCATATTTACATGGCAGCACTTTATCAACTGAGCTATTCACCAGCCCTGAATTTTTATATTTCATGTGTTTAAAAGTTTTCCATTTCTGTAAAATATCAATGTCTTTTGTCCTCTCCCATTTTTTGACAGTGTCTCACTATGTATCCCTGACTGGCCAGCTAACCTCTGTCTGCCTCCTAGGTACTAGGATCAAAAGTGCATGCTCTCTAGAACACCCAGCTTCCTACATCTTGTTGTTGTTAAGGATGTCATAATGAAACCTTTTAGTGTGTGTACTTTTATTTTATTTTTGAGATTATAATATAGTTACACTTTTCCCTTTCCTCCCTTCAAACCCTTCATATGTCATTTATTGCATTCTTTCAAATTCAAAGCATGTTTTCACTATTATTACATGCATATATACATATATATTCCTATATGTAATCTCCTTAGTCTGCAGCTAATCAATAAATCTTTTCATTATGGTCTTTTCCCAGTGGTCACAAACTCCCTACCATCTTTTCCAAAAAGAAACCCAGAAGATTTTTCTAAAAGAATAAATCTATGTTGGTCTCTATTCATTCTAGTTTATTCTGTTTTGTGGCATGTTTATTCTTATTCAAGGTTTTGAGTTCTTTAACCTTTAACAAATAAAGTTATTTTCTGTACATAGGTACCTTTGATGTATGTATGTACATGAGTGATGCCAGAAAGGGTCACTGAATGACCTGGAACTGGTTGTGAACTGCCACGTGGGTGCTAGAAACTGAACTCAGGTCCTTCTGCAACAGTAATCAGTGCTCTCAACCACCAAGCCAATCTCTCCAGCCCCCAACATTTTTACTTTTTCCCTCAGTTCATCAGAATTCTTAATATATTTAGGATCTACTGCTGCTGATTTGGTTTGTATGTTTGGTGGATCTAATAATATAAATCCGTGTTCACCCATGATTTGCCAATTGCAACATGCTATTCACAACTGATTCTTGGGTAAATCCAGCTTTCCATTAGAGCAGAGAATCCATGACTTTCTGTTTTTGAGACAGTCGCTGCCTGTAGCTCAGGCTGGGCTTGAACTTGCTAGATAGCCAAGGATGGCTCAGACTACCTCTGCTTCTTCCACCTCTCCACTACATGCTTTTTCTGATACAGGCTCATGTGTAGTCTACTCATGTGTAGTCCAGGCTGTCCTGGAACTCCTTATGTAGCTCATGATAACCTTGATCTCACAAAGATCCCCTTTTTGGGATTAAAATTGTGTGTCACAAGTTGGGCAAGGTGGAACAGCCCTTTAAATCCCAGCACTGGGGAGGCAGAGGCAGGTAGATCTACAAACTGAGTCCAGTATAACCAGGGTTACACAGAGAAACCCTGTCTCGAGGAGGGCCGTGGAGGGTGGGGAGCATGTGCCACCTCTCTTCAAACTTCTGATCTTTTTTCTCTCTCTCAGGTGAAAGCATGAACACAGTCCCCCACTACCACAAATCATGCAGTCGAGTTTCCCACAGCTGGGGAAACTGCAGGGGTCAGCACATTCAGAGTGAAAGCTTTTACTCTTAATCTCCCTGCCTCCAAGGAGCTGCGGGGCTCCTTAAACCGGAAGGTGCAGGATCCAACCTCAACAGTGTCACCTTGTGTCTGTGAGGAGTCATAACAGCAGCAGACTCCCAGACTCCAGCTGCTCCACCTGAAGCAGAAAAATCCAACTAAGTGAAAGACTATGGATTATGGGAAACTTAGGTGTGGAAAGGAAGGGAAGATCCTTGAAATAAAGATATACTAGCCAGCGGTCACTTAACTGAAAAATGTTAAGTGACATAAGGGGAGCACAGAAAGGCAAATCCTTGATGATCTCACTTGCTTGATGTAAAGCAACTGAACTCACTGAAGCTGAGAGTAGAGTGACATCTACCAGGAGCAAGGAGAGGGACAGTGGGAAGATGAAGATCAAAGGTTATGAAGCCTTAAGATTTATATGAAGGCTAGAGTTCTAGTTTTTTTTTAGGATGTTATGAAGGTTAAGCTTCTAGAATTTTCTTCCTTTGAGATCTATTACAGCTAATAAGTGTTGTACATTTCCACAGACCAAAGAATAAATCTCAAATGTTCTCATCCCCAAAACATCAAACATTTAAGTTGACTTGATGTATGGGTTAATAGCTTGATTTAATCATTCTACGTTATATCCAAAAATCATAAATTCACTTTGTACTTTATAAGATATATAGCTACAGTTTGTTTTTTTCATTTTTCTTTTGTGTATCTGTGTTCGGTTCATGTGTGCACACACATATGGCTAAAATTCCTTTTCTGGGGGTGATGCAAGCAATGTCTATCTCCTCCTTCTAGAGGCCCAACAGCAAGTCCAGATATTGGTCCTTCAGAGCTCACCCTGCACAATCAGAGGTGGTTTATTAGGCTTGCTTCAGATGGGTGACAGGTTACAGTTAGGGGCACTGTGAAGCAGCTACACTGAAAGGTCTGAGACACCCTCATGCCTGTGTAAATAGAGCTCTGTCGCTAGTCCCTCCTTGATGATAGCCTCTAGGTCAGGGGTTCTCAACCTTCCTAAAGCTGTGACCCTTTAAAACAGTTCATGTTGTGGTGACCCCAAACCATAAAATTATTTTTGTTACTACTTTATAACTGTAATTTTGCTACTGTTATGGGTCATAATGTAAAGATCGGATATGCAGGATATCTGATAATGCAAACCCTGTGAAAGGGTCTTTTGACCCCCAAATGAGTTTCAACTATTGTCTTAGCCCCTCCCAGAGACCATGAGTCCATGCACAATTAGGGTAGACTTGCATACAACTCGTTGGAAGGGTGGCTGGATACTCAGGTAAAGGTCCCATACCCTTCTCCCTTCTTCCAAGATGGACAGTTAACAGTCAGCAAGCCCCACTGTGCTGATCTTTAGAGCAGACCCAGAAGAGCCCTTGAAGATAATGGCAGTCTGGCTCAGAGGATAGTCCTGTACAAGATCATGTTTGGGCAGACCTGAAGAAACCCTTGGGTGTTGTCCACCCTCGTGTGTGTGTGTGCGTGCGCGCACATATGGAAGCCAGAGGACAGCCTAGATGTCATCATCAGGAAAGCCATCTAACTGCTATGAAACAGGTTTTCTCACTGGCCTTGAGCTCGTTAATTTGGCTACTTTGGCTGATGGTGAGTGGCCCATGAGCCCCATGGATCCTCTTGCTAGCTTTTTTTTTTTTTAATGTGGATGCTGGGGGTTGAACTTAAATCATCAAGCTTGCAAGGCAAGTACTTTACCAACCCTTGGCAGTGCACGGCTTTGATCCTAGCACTAGGGAGGTGGAGGCAGGTGCCTCTGTCTGAAGCCAGCCTGGTCTACACAGCAAATTCCTAGACAGCCAGAGCTACATAGTGAGGCCCTGTGCTGAAAACAAACAAACAAACAAACCAACAGAACTGTCTCAAAGACTTTTTAAAAATTCCTTCAGATATATTTTGCACACTCCACACCACGTACGCAAAAATTTCTGTGGCAGGGTTTATTTTTAACAGCTTTAACTTCAAGGAGTCAGACAAGATGCTTCTGTCAACAGCTGAGGATAATTCCTGGCCTCCCGGCTCCAGTGGATTTTTGTATCCAAGCAGTTCAAGGAAATGTCCTTTTTAGTAATAAAAGCCCTCCTTTCCGATTCCTCTCCAAGTGTGCCTGAACTCACACAGCGTGCACCTCGTGTTAAGGTCCTTTTGTTTATTCCCGCGTACATGTTTACACTTTGTACACCCCACCCCGCACCCCCGTTTTCAGGCGGCACCCTGGAACACAGAGCCTAAATGACGTAAGGTAAGCCTCCCGCCCTCTGCACACACTGTTTTGATGATTACTTGTATGAATGTCTTTAAGCCCCACAACAACCAAACCCATGAGGGAAAAGGGCGGACTCCAACTCAAGTTCTGTATGTATCCAAGAACGACCTTGAACTACTGCACTTCCCATCTCTTCCTCCTGATTGCACCATTCTAGGCTTATTCCATGCTGGGGATGAATCACAGGGGCAAGCTGCACCATTCTAGGCTTATTCCGTGCTGGGGATGAATCACAGGGGCAAGCACTTTATCCACTCAGCTACATCCTCGGGTCCCACAACCCGTAACATTGCTGACCATCTCAAAGGAGAGATCATGCCACGAAGCCAGATTCTGGAACCAATTGCTTAGGTTCAAGTTCAAAGCTATCTGTAAGCTTCTCTTTCCCTACCTGTGAAACACCGGACAGCGCTTACTTCTCAGGTCTGCCAAGATTAAAGGGATCCGGCATGTCCTGCGTAAGGCAGAATAACAGTGGAGTAGGTGGCAGGTTTCATTTATCCAGTTTTGTTCTCAGGCTAGTGTCCTCTCCCCTACATCCCACCACCACGTGCTCCACGTGCCTTCCGTAAATAAGCGAGCGCGCAGGCGCCTGGAGTCGGTGTTCATTGGCCGTCCCGGCGCTGCCCAGGGCCGTGGGGGAGAGACCCTGTGGCCTCTGGCCGCAGGCTCCGCCCGGGGTCGGTTGATGCGCGAGTTTGTGGGTCGGTGAGTCGGGGCGATCAGCTTCGCCATCGCCATGGTGTCCCTGCTGTGGCTGCTGGCGCTGCTCCCGGCCGCGGCCCCGGTCCCGGTCCCCGCCGAGCCCTGGGCCGACAACGAACAGGCCTGGAACCTCTCGTTCCCGGAGCTGCTGGCGCCCGCCCGCTTCGCGCTGGACATGTACAATTACGGCCGCAGTGCGGGGTCGAAGGCCGCGCTGGGGGCCGTACGCGGGCGCGTCCGCCAGGTGAGGACGCCCGGGGAGCGGGCGCGGGGCCTGGACCCAGCAATGGTGCAAAGTGAAATTTGTCTTAAATTTGGGGTGATGGCCTGGACGGTGGAGGGAAGGAGCTGTGCTGGCTAAGACCAGGTAGGGAGGCACAGATGGGCAATGGGCTTCTGAGAGGAGCAAAGGAGGGGATGGCCGTCCCAGCTTCACCTTCTCCTCCGTCCAGGTGGGCCTGGGCTCTCTGTTCTTTCTGCAAGCCACTATGGAGGAGCCGCCTTGCAATGATCCCCAGGTGTGCCTGCTCCCTGAGTCCAAGAAAATCATGGTGAGTGATGGGTTCCCAGATACTGCTGGCCCTAGGCTTGGCAAGCAATTAGAATGAATGGGTCCTGTCAAGAGGCGGCGGTTACCCTACCCTGAGTTACTAGTTAGAGACTAAGATACTCTGAAAAGGTAGGCGTTTAGTTGCTAGGTGTCAGCTGCTGGCCAGTGCCTTCTTCTCCCACCAGTTAACGATTGTCTTCCCCGGGGAGCTTCTAGCTGATCTTGCCAGGACTTTGTTCCGAACTGTCCCCAGACTGTCATCTTTCTCTTCCTCCAGCTCTGCAGCTTTGAAGTCCTGGAAGAGCTAGGAAAACACATGCTGTTGAAGAAAGACTGTGGCCCAGTGAATGCCAAGATTACAGGTGCTGGGAGAGCTCGAGGAGACTGGGATAGCCCAAACCGTACTTGACTCAGAATCCAGCCTTGATTGATTCTCTGTTCCAACCCTATCCAGAGTATGTAAATGAGACTTTCCAATCGTTCCTGCCAATGATGAACAAGGATCCCCTGCCGCGGGTGAGGAGCCTGTGTCCTGGAGAGCACTTGCCTCTTAGGCTCCCTTCTCCCTTCCCCTCAATTACTGTCCTGGGGTCAGGCTGAACTTCCTGTAAACAAACACCCTTCTGTCTTCTCAGGACTTTTCTGTGAAGATGGTTACACTCTTCAAGGACTTCATGACTACCTATAACCGCACTTACAGATCGAGGAAAGGTAGGAACTAGCCTTGCTTGTATCTTTCCCAATCAGATTTGGGCCTTCTTCCTATCATGTTACCTTGATATTGAGGAGATAAAGGACACAAGGACCCTGTGTCACTTTCTTCCATCTTATCTTCCTAGCCAGAAACCCTGGGCTTCATCCCTTCAGGCAGGGTGGGGTAAGGTTTAGATCCAATTTTCTGTGTTGGATTCCCTCTGTCTCTTCATGGCCTTTCCCTTAACGTCTCCTGAATGACACCCTTAGGTCTCATTTTGGTTACTGCTTTTGTATTCAATAAGTCATTGCTCCAGTTTGGGCCGTTAAAATTGACCACACCTCTCATCCATGTCTCATTCTAACTGCCCCAGGGATCTGTCCTTACCAACAGCTTCAGGGACTAAGGCAATGACTCAGTAAAGTCCTTGCCTTGAAATTGTGAAGACCTGAGTTCAATCCCCAGAACCCACCAAAGAAGCCGGTTATGGTGGTCTGGATTTGTAACTGCAGCAGTAGTGAAAAGGGAGGCAGAAATAGGCTCATCCCAAGGCAATAAGAGACTGTTTGTGTCTCCAAAAAAAGTGAAAGACCCTGAGGAATGACATCAGAGATTGTCCTTTGATCTATACACTCAGACGTGTGCACACACACACATACACGCACATTCACACACTCAGAAGCTTCAGGCTCAGTCCAGAGTCTACCTCTCACTTGGGGAAACCTCACTTGCTAACCCTGCTTACTTCTCCTTTTATGATCTGCTTGGATTCAAGCCTCTCTCCTCCTTTTGATCCTTAGAAGCCCAGTGGCGCTTGGCTATATTTGCCAGAAACATGATCCAAGCTCAGAAGATTCAGGCCCTGGACCGTGGCACAGCTCATTATGGGATCACCAAGTTCAGTGACCTCACAGGTGAGGACGGTGACCAGACCGGCCCAGAACTTGTGCACCTCGGTCTGTTTTAAAATAATTCATCCCTCTTTGCCCTGCCCACCTCTATCTACAGAGAAGGAATTCCAAACCATCTACCTCAATCCCCTCTTACAAAAGGAGACTGGCGGGAAGATGAGTCTAGCCAACCCCATAAAACATCTCGCTCCACCTGAATGGGACTGGAGGAAGAAAGGGGCTGTCACTGAAGTGAAGGACCAGGTTGGAGTCTCAGAAGTGGGGGTAGGAATGGAAGCTGCATGGGGCCTGAAGAAAGGGTAGGGTCTTGACCGTGTCCATTGTCTTGTAGGGCATGTGTGGCTCCTGCTGGGCCTTCTCTGTCACAGGCAACGTGGAGGGCCAGTGGTTCCTGAACCGGGGGACTCTGCTCTCCCTGTCAGAGCAGGGTGAGAACCCTGCTCCAGCCCCCTGCCTCCAGGCCAGCCCTTCCACAGGGCCCCTTGCAACCAGCCTTCTGTCTCCTAGAGCTCTTGGACTGTGACAAGATGGACAAGGCCTGCTTGGGTGGATTGCCCTCCACTGCCTACACAGCCATAAAGAATTTGGGTATGTATTAATTAGGTCAGGAGGGACAGCAGGTATCACGGAACTCGGTCCTGGTCTTCATGTTGACCCCTTCTGCCTGAAGACTACAGACTTTGACTACATGTCAGTTTTGTCAGAGCCTCAGTTATCTCAGCTATGAAATGAGATATACAGTGTCCACTTTGTATATTGTGTATTGACACAATCATGTCTCCAATGTCAAGTGGGAGAATAGATATAAGATTCTGATGCATGACAAGGACCAAGTGGATCTTGCTGTTTTTACTTCCTGGAAGTCTGTGAATAATAAGAACTAGTTGCCAAACTAGACAGCAGCACGTCTCTCTCCTGAGAGGAGTGTTAAATTCAGCCATGGTCTGCAGTGTGGGGTAGCTTAGAATCTACTCCAGGAGCCTGGCAGGGGTCTGAGCTACATTAGCAATAGACTCTTCAGAGAGGACAAACAGCAGAGGGCAAAAGTGCCAGGCAGCCTGGAAAGAGATGGGAGTGGAGTCCTCTCCTTGCTGGTGAATATAGCTCCTTCTTCCCCATACCCTTTCATCCCTGTCATCTCTAGTCTGAGGAGACTCCTCAAAGAGGTTCCAGGGCCCCGGGGGTATGTAAGGAATGTGTAACCTCAAGTCTATGGGACGATTGTCACTCTTCTGTCTGGGAGAACATGAATGAGTGATAAACAGGAGTGTACTCATTCCCCAGGAGGGCTGGAGACAGAGGATGACTACCGCTACCAGGGCCACGTTCAGGCCTGCAACTTCTCAGCAGGGAGGGCAAAAGTCTACATCAACGATTCAGTGGAGCTGAGCCAGAATGAGAATAGTGAGTAGAGGGTGCCAGGGCTGGGTTCAAGTCAATGCTGCTGGGCCCAGGGACTACTGACAATGCCTTCCCCTCTCAGAGATAGCAGCCTGGCTGGCCCAGAACGGACCGATCTCAGTTGCCATCAATGCCTTCGGCATGCAGGTGAGGCCCTGGCCTCTCCACCCCTGCCCCATCTTTTGTCTGTACCTCCCTCACTTCTCCTCTGAGCTGGCCCTGTTTTCTCCTCAGTTCTATCGCCACGGGATCGCTCACCCATTCCGGCCCCTCTGCAGCCCTTGGCTCATCGACCATGCTGTGTTGCTGGTGGGCTATGGCAACCGTGAGTTCCACTGGCCTCCTGCTTTCCTTCCCAGGCCACACTCAGGGCCTAGATAGCAGCTTCTTGGGTCTTTTGAGGGGAACATCTGAGTCATGCTTGGGAACCTTGCCCTGAACCCCAGCCTCAGAAGAACACCCCTGCCTTTTATAGACAGGAAAGCGGGAGCTGTGGAAGGTTGAAGGGTTATTCTAGAGGCAATTGGATAAGTGTGCACTCCATGCATTTGAGGTGCGTGAGGTCTCTGTGAGGATGGTAGGTGGGCCTCTCTGGCACTTTGCTGTTTTCCTAGTTGCTGTTGCACTGTAGGCCCACTGAAGCTATTTGGAGGGTGCAATGTGTGAGTCTCTGAGGGGAGAAGGGCCTCTGACCCCTTGTATTCAATGTTGCTCCCCAGGCTCCAACATTCCTTTTTGGGCCATCAAGAACAGCTGGGGCAGTGACTGGGGTGAAGAGGTAAGTTCTGCCTCTGGTTGACCCCTGACCCTCCAGCTCACGCTACCCAAGCCCCTCACCAAGCCCCACTCTCCCTCAGGGTTACTACTACTTGCATCGTGGGTCCGGGGCCTGTGGTGTAAACACCATGGCCAGCTCTGCGGTGGTGAACTGAGGGACTTGCTGGCACGAAACCTGATGCTGACCACAGCAGCCCCTTCCTTAGCCTGACTAATGCCTGGCTCTGCCTCAGGAGGCACAGCTGGCTGAGGGACAGGCACTTTGTACCTCAGGGTGAGCAGTGGGCCCTGGGCCCCTTCTTCCCTTCCTGTCTCCCTCTCACGCCCACCTGAAGCTCCCCAGGTATATCTGCTGAACTGTGATAGCAAGGAGGAGCAGGCGGCTCATAGAAGCCAGCACCGGGGCAAGAACCCTGGGCTCGGGTAAGATGCAGGATGAAAATACTATCATCACAAACCTAGATCTGTCCTCAGCAGGCTCTGGCTTCCTGTCTTGGTTTTCCTCAGTCTGACACAGTAAACTTTCCAGTCCCCTTCCACATCCAGGGAATTTATAACCAGCCTTCTCTAAGAGCAATAAAGAGGTTCCCTGCTCCCTGGCGTGGTGTGTTTGGTCTCTGAGGGAAAAGGTGGGTCTTAGGGACCCTGATGGGTCAAGGTGGGGTAGCTGGTCCTGCCCAGGAGTTCCAGGACTCAGTTTTCCTTTAGGAATCAGAAAGAGATGGAAGAGGCCCACAGCCTGATCTTTATTCAGAAACATGGTGCTGGATGATCTTGAAGCCCTTGCTCTGAGGGACAGTGGAATCTGCCACAGGAAGTGCCCTCTCTCCTTCACCTCCGAGAATGTCAGAGGTCACTCTCTCCATAGAGGGCACTGGAGAAGGCCACGTAGTCCAGGGCTCCAGGTGGAGCCCCAGATCCTTTGTAGGGCGCCATCCGGCGGATGCAGTACTCAGCCTGCTCAGCGGGGAGCTCTCGCCGCAGCTCCTCGGGGGTAATGTAGTTCTAGAAGAGAGGAGACGTTCAGGGCCCGTGGGTCTTGGCCGACACCCTAGTCCGCCAGACCCTCCGCTGAGGGAGACTCACCTTGTCCCCTGCCAGGATTTTGAAGGAGGCTACAACTTGTTCAGCTGTGTCTGTCTCAGCGGTCTCTCGGGTCATAAAGTCAATAAAGGCTTGGAAGGTCACAACCCCAGCTGCGTTGGGGTCCACCATGGTCATGATGCGAGCAAACTCCACTTCCCCCTGCAGAGATAGAGGTCAGGAACTGTGTCCATATGTGCTGAAGCCAAGAGGGTGCCTCATGTCCTGTCCTGGGGATTTTTGTACATAGCTTATGTAACCCCAGTGACAAGGTACCCTCTTCTCAAGACATTAGTCAGCTTGGCTTTAGGGAACCCCTCATGGCAGGCAGAAGGAAGTCTGCCTTTTGCCCATGGTGATTCCCCCTCTTGCTTCAGAGTTGCAATGTTTTACAATTTAGCATTGTTTCTTAGAGGGAAAAAAGATCTAAGCTAGGACCTTGAGGTTGCATAGACCTCTCAGTGTCTTAGCCTTTGTGTGGGTGTGATAAGCAGAGAAGATGATTTGTGTGAACAAGGAGGGGAACTGATGATAATTCTGGAAGTGGCCTTGGGACTCACCAGGTCATAACCCATGGAGATGAGGCAAGCTCGGAAGTCATCTGGCTCCATCATCCCATTCCGCTTCTATTGAGACAAACGGATGTTAGGCTTGGTCTCCAAATCCCACCAGTCCCCAAGTCTTAACCCATAGGACTTGGCCCCTGCTGACCCTGTCAAAGTGGTTGAAGGATGCCCGGAATTCGTTGAGCTGCTCCTGGCTCAGGCCCTTGGCATCTCGGGTCAGTACCTGGTTCTCTACCTCGTTGATGGTGCGGGCAATGGAGGTGAGCAGCTGCTCCCAGCCCACACGAATGTGCTAGGAAGGGAGACAGAAATCAGTGGGTAGGCAGGTCTTGGTAGTTACTCCAGCTTTACTCCTTTTTTGTTGTTTTTGTTTTTTGTTGTTGTTTTGTTTGAGACAGGGTTTCTCTGTGTAGCCCTGCCTTTCCTGGAACTCACTCTCTAGACCAGGCTGGCCTCGAACTCACGAAGATCCACCTGCCTCTGTCGCTTAAATGCTGGGATTAAAGATATGCATCATCACACCTGGCTGTCTAGTTAGTTTAATCCACTGTGTGGCATTGGGCAAATCTTCCTTATTGGGCCTCTGTCCCACCTCAAGGTTCTGAGCGACCATAAGCAAAGCAACCCTTTCTATCTTAAAGTTTTATGGATTATTATGCATTAAATATTGATCCAGCAGCCATGGCCAATCCTGGGATCTGGCTTTGGAATGCTTTGTGATTCTGAACAGGTCACTTCCCTTCCTTCCTCCCTCCATCTTTCCTTCCCTCCCTCCCTCACTTCTTTCCTTCCCTCCCTCCCTCCCTTCTTTCCTTCCTTCCTTCCTTCCTTCCTTCCTTCCTTCCTTCCTTCCTTCCTTCCCTCCCTCCCTCCCTCCCTCCCTCCCTCCCTCCCTCATAAAGCCCAAGCTGACCTTGAACTTGCTGTGTAGCTGAGAATGTCTTGATCCTAATGCCTCTCCCTCTCAAGTGATGGCCTAACAGATGTGCATCTCCACACCTAGTTACTTTCCATTGCCGGATAACCAAATAGCCATAAGGACATTGGAAATGCTTGCCAAGCTGGACTGGTGACCCTCCTGGGACAGACATGCCCACCCAGCTTCGACCCTGCCACCCTTCCCTTCCCTTCCTCCGAAGGGCGAGGCCCCACCTCCATGCTGTAGACTGTGTGCTTGTTATCAAAGACCAGGCTCTCCTGCAGCAGCTGGTGGTCACCCTCCAGCCGGTCGATGTTGCTCTTGTAGTTGATGATGTTCTGCTCCTGCTGCCTCAGACCTGCCATCTGCTCCTCCAGAGAGCCAGCCAGCCCAGCTGCCAGCCGCCCCACCTCCTGCAAAGGCACCCAGGCAAGATAAGGACTCTTCAGCATTCCGTGGGCCAACCCCATCCCGTCCTCGTCCTAGCTCTCCGAGCCCTTACCTCCACCTTCCCCTGGATCCAGGGTCCTATGGCATTGGCCTGGGCTGCAAACTGTCGTCGGAGCCTCTCATTCACCTGCTGCCGGGCCAGTTCCTCCTGCAGTGTCTGGTCACGGCTGGGTACCAGCTTTCGGACCTGGGGAGGAGAGTGGTCGTACTATGTATGGCCAAGTGTGGGGCCCAGGAGATGATTCTGAAACGGACCCTCAGACTTCAGTTCTTGTTCTCATGAGCCAGAATGGGACATGTGGATAAACTCTGGGGCAAATGGCTTCGTATTTATAGGCTCCAGGTACCTCATCTGTAAAATGGGGCCAATGACAAATGGGTGGGCGTGGAGACGGTATGCACACAATAATTCTATGTCTGTCAGTCCTGGTAGGGGAATGATGTCGGAGGCTGTCCAGTGCCGCATGGAATCTGTGGCAGACTCCAGGTGGATGGAGGTGGGCTTTACTCCCCATATCTTGGGACATCAGAGGTGCAAGACTCAAATGTGCAAGAGGGAGTGGGCAGCATGCAGGGCTGCTAGCGGCACTCACCGTGTCCCACTTATTGTTGATGTCCTGGGAGCTAAGCGTGATGTAGGGGTTAGCAGACTTTGGCCGCAGTCCGTATGTTTGGCAGATCTTCTGAATCTCTCCTTGGATGCCCAGGATGGCACCTCGCTCTCTATCAGCCTCAGGCAATGTTGCCTTGAACTGTTCATGTGCCGTTAGCAGGCTCTGGGGGAAACAGGAAGAATCAGCCAACACAGCCATTTTATCGCAGGCAACAGGGTGCAGAGCAGGGAGGAGCTAGCTCATCTAGTAGTTGGTGCAGGGCTGGGCCAAGAACCTAGGCCTCTTGCCTGCCGGCACCACACTCCAGAACTGGGTTTTTCCTGCTTCCTATTTCTATTACCCAAGAACCCAAAGGTTTGCCTGACAGGATGTAAGACCTCTCACTTCCTCTCATCACACCTAGTGCCTCCCAAACTTTTCCCACAGTGTTTTCACTCACCTGGGTCTCCTCTACAGAGTGCACTAGCCAAACGTCCTGCAGGTCCTCAATAGCCCCATCCAGCCAGTTGTTGAAGGGCGCTGCCCGCCGAGCAAACTCCAGCTGCAGCTGGTCAATGGTTTCCAGGAGCTTCTCCATCCTCTAGGGGCCGGGGGGACCATGGATCAGATCCTTTCCAGCTTTCTGGCCTCATCACTTTGCTCCCGGTCCCCTGGCCCACCTGCCCACCTCTAGTGCGTCCCTCCTCTTCTGGGTCAATGTACCCAAGTTATCCCACTGGTCGCAGATGGCTTGGCAGCGGCTATTCACCGAGGCTGCCTCATGGTAGTCCAGCTCACTGATGGGGCAAAGGGGGAATGAGTAGAGGCAGACCCTGATGGAACCCGAGACAGGGTGAGGGCGCAGGAATGACAGTGTTAGGCAGCCAGAGGAAGTGTGGGGCAGAGGGGCTTATTCTTCCAAGGGTCTCAGTGTGTCCCTGCAGAGGGCCGCCACCTAATCCTAATCCTCAGCTCCAAAATTCCTTGAGATTCCAGATGCGGAGCCTGGGGTTTCAGAAGCAGGCTTGTGGGAGCAAGGGAACTGGTAGTTGGTGAGGCCAAGGCTGACTCCTGAGGTGAAGGGGGTTTCCAGGTTGTGGAGGACAGGTCTCCCCGTGTGGTGGGACACATGAGTGCCACTGGATAAATGTATAGGCAGCAAAGCGAGTCAGCGGCTATGGATGATGTCTCAGGAAGGGCATAAGCAAGTAACAGCAGCGGAGGCGTGAGAGGAAAACAGGATGCCACTGCTTGGTTACCAAGGGTCTGACAGAGGAGGAGGGCGGGGTGCAGTGGGGAGCAGGGCGGGGTCTCCGGCCACGCCTACTTGAGTTCCTGGGCCAGGGCAGCAATGTGTTCCACCCGGTCTTGGTGAGCAGCCAGGTCGCTCTCAAAGGCCTCATGGCGCCGCAAGAGCGCACGCACCTCCTGTAGCGAAGCTGACTCATAGTCGTGTTGTTGCAGCATCTCCTCTTTGCCTGCTCGGAAAGAAAACGGGGCCCTGTGACCCAGAGGCCGCCAAGGCTAGAGTGTGAGGCTTCCCAAGTATACCCTGAGAGGCCATCCTCCTGATCTTTGGCTTCGCGTGCCCATGACCCAGCACTTCTAGGATGATGACCTTTGCTTCAAGGAACTTCTGGATAGTGAACTCTCACCTCCCCCCCACCTTTTTGTTTGTTTGGTCGGTTGGTTGGTTTTGCTTTTGCTTTTGTTGTTGTTTTGAGACGGGGTTTCTCTATGTAGTTCCTGGCTGTACTGGAACTTGCTGCATTGACCAGGCTGACCTCAAACTCAGAGATCGGATGGCCTCTGCCTCTCGAGTGCTGGAATTAAGGGCGTGCACCAACACGGCCACACTTTCAAACGTCTCCATCCCTCTGTGAAGCCCTCAGTCTTTTGACCTGGCTTCATTTGCTCACCACTGCACAGTGCCTGATACTTGGTGGACGGCAGACCCTCCATGAATAATTACTGTATAAGTGAA